TGTTTTTGTTGGGTGTTGGGTAAGTTTTTATGTTTTTATTGGGGTTGGGTAAGATTTTTTATGTTTTTATTGGGTGTTGGGTAAGTTTTTATATTTTTGTTGGGTGTTAGGTACGTTTTTAATGTTTTTGTTGGGTGTTGGGTAAGTTTTATGTTCTTATGTGGTTGGGTAAGTTTTATGTTTTTGTTGGGTGTAGGGTAAGTTGTTTTTTTTAAATTATGGAAAGGTGAGCTTTTTGTTTTGTAATCTGAAAACATTACATTCAATATTTCGTCTCAAGTTAACTATACATCATACACAGTAAGGAAGGTATAAGTTAAATCAGGCCCTTACTTACGTCTTCACAACAAGTCACGTGACCTCCAGAAAATCACGTGTGAATTACAATACCAATAAATACAGAAATCGAAACTTCCTACTTTGTTTTCTTTTTTCTCTATTCCCCCTTCCCCATTGCATGCTTGAATTTCTGGCTTAGCAGTAAGCTTGAGGATTCATAACGCTAAAATTCGGAGTTCGATTCTTGTGGCGGCTACATACCAGATAGTTCATTGGGCAACTTTGTGTTTAAGAACAAACAAATTTCTTGAATTTAAATTCGTTTGGTTTTTAATTTGTAAATTTCAAATATATAGTTAACTATAAAACTTGTCATAAGTGTAATTTTGTACATTAACATGTTAATTAGTTAGATAAATTATTATCAAAAAAACCTAAGACCTTGTAGGTAAGCAAAATGATATATATGATTAGTATGGCAAAATGAAATTAAACACTAAGGAAAGTGTAGTAGGAGATACTGTTGAAATTAGTTTAAATTAAACACTAAGGAAAGTGTAGTAAGAGATACTGTTAAAATTAGTTTAAATTACACATTAAGGGAAGTGTAGTAGGAGATACTGTTGAAATTAGTTTAAATTAAACACTAAGGGAAGTGTAGTAAGAGATACTGTTAAAATTATTTTAAATTAAACACTAAGGAAAGTGTAGTAAGAGATACTGTTAAATTAGTTTAAATTAAACACTAAGGGAAGTGTAGTAGGAGATACTGTTAAAATAGTTTAAATTACACATTAAGGGAAGTGTAGTACGAGATACTGTTAAATTAGTTTAAATTAAACACAAAGGAAAGTGTAGTAGGAGATACTGTTGAAATTAGTTTAAATTAAACACTAAGGAAAGTGTAGTAGGAGATACTGTTGAAATTAGTTTAAATTACACATTAAGGGAAGTGTAGTAGGAGATACTGTTGAAATTAGTTTAAATTAAACACTAAGGAAAGTGTAGTAGGAGATACTGTTAAAATCGGTTTACATTAAACACTAAGGGAAGTGTAGTAGGAGATACTGTTAAAATCGGTTTACATTAAACACTAAGGGAAGTGTAGTAGGACATACTGTTAAAATCGGTTTACAATAAACACTAAGGGAAGTGTAGTAGGACATACTGTTAAAATCGGTTTACATTAAACACTAAGGGAAGTGTAGTAGGAGATAATGTTAAAATTAGTTTAAATTAAACACTAAGGAAAGTGTAGTAGGAGATAATGTTAAAATTAGTTTAAATTACACATTAAGGGAAGTGTAGTAGGACATGCTGTTGAAATTAGTTTACAAAGAAGCTCATTGACTGAAACTCTGAAAAAATATTATTTCGGATATTCTCGCAAAGCTACACAAAGTTTACCTGCCGTCCACCAGTTTGAAATGATAGGCTAGAGGGTAGGCAGCTAGTTAACAGCACCCACCGCACATTCTTTAGCTACTTTAATGGAATAAAAGGGTTTGAGTCTCACTCAAAGTACAAGGACCCGAACCATGGACACTCGGATCCACAAACCGGTATTCCAATCACAATGCAACGACAGACCCAGGTTATACCTGATCAACATGCATAACAAAAATTATATTACAAAAGTCTGGAATAGATAACTTCGTAATTTTCGAAATCTAATTACTGCTTGAAAACAACTGATTTTATTATCTGCCTTAGTTACTAGCAAAATTATTTACCACCAGGAGTCTCCCAACTTAGTAAAAAAAATACAAATTGACAACAGAAACTCTAATAAATTTAATATGTTCCTCGGTGTTTCTCTAAGCCTAATTAAAACTCATCTCATCTATGTGTAGTTAATTAGAATTCTGGAAAGCATTTTAATTATTTTTCCACAAAAATAGAGATAATAAAAATGTTACAACTAATACAATGATCGTATGATTCTAATGAGAAAGGTATTATATTTTTAGTTCATGTATTTCCTAATACATTATTTCAAAGTTAGCTAAGATTTGGTGTGAAAGAAGTGTTGGATTAACTCTGTGATGGAGTTCTGAATGTCGGAGCTGCCAAACCGGGTTCGAACCCGTGCAATACTACAAAATATTGTTATAAAAGTGACAGTCGACAAAGTGGATGATGGGAGATAGAGTTATTGCCTGCTCTACCTCTGATCAGCTATTCAAATTAAGAGACAACACCAATTAGCTTTAGTAACTTTCAGAAGTATATGTAAAATCAAAACGAAAATCAATATTAAAATTAGTGAATAACTTAAATCTGCATACTTATGACTTAAAGATATAAGTATACTTCAGTTTGGAACACAGTTTTTTAGAGATTAGAAGTTTAGAAGAACAACAGTATTTTATTATTTTCTAAATTGTATAGATATACAACATTTCTGATCATATTAAGTCATATATATATAGTTTCCATATGCGTTCGTAATATGACTTAAAACTTGCTCAAAAACCAATGTAAAATAAAATCTCGAAATAAATCAAGCTAGAGTTGTTAAGTAAGCATTTCACTAATTACACGTATTTTTTCTTTTCATTCAGTTGTTTTTCAATTTCATTATTTTTTTGGACTTCTTCAGACATCACATCTAACAGTTTGTTTGTTTATTTGTTGTTAAGCACAAAGCTATACAATGTGCTATCTGTACTGTTCCCACCACTGGTATCTAAACCCTGTTCTAAGCGTTTTAATCCTTCAGACTTACCGCTTACTTCTCAATAAACACTAAATTCCACAATGGAACAACTGTATTATTAAGAACAATATCAATAAACACTGAATATTACAATGGCTGTATTATTAAGAACAATATGAATAAACACTGAATATTACAATGGCTGTATTATTAAGAACAATATGAATAAACACTGAATATTACAATGGCTGTATTATTAAGAACAATATTAATAAACACTGAATATTACAATGCCTGTATTATTAAGAACAATATTAATTAACACTGAATATTAGAATGGCTGGATTATTAAGAACAATATCAATAAACACTGAATATTACAATGGCGTATTATTAAGAACAATATGAATAAACACTGAATTTTACAATGAAACAGCTGTATTATTAAGAACAATATCAATAAACAATGAATTTCACAATGAAACAGCTGTATTACTAAGAACAATATCAATAAACACTGAATTTCACAATGAAACAGCTGTATTATTAAGAACAATATCAATAAACACTGAATTTCACAATGAAACAGCTGTATTATAAGGAAATATATTAATAAACACTGACAATTCCAGTAGTGAAAGAAGAAAAAAAAAAGAACGAATCTTGGAAGACGCACAGTGTTCGAACTAGAAATCGTAATACCTGTTACACGTACATTTGTGAACAGTTCTATAAAAGTTTGTTTGTTTGGAATTAAGCTACACAATGGGCTATCTGTACTCTACCCACCACGGGTATCGAAACCCGGTTTCTAGCGTTGTAAGCCCGCAGACATACCGCTGTACCACTGGGGGCTCTATAAAAGTGGAACAGTAACTAATTTATAACGCGTGAGGTAGTATGAAAGATTTTATCTGTCAGTTTCCTTTACTTTGTTTTTCTTTGAATAGGTTTCTTTATCGTTTCAATGTTTTACGTTAAGCAAAGTTACAAACTTGATGGTTAGTCGTTTCATGTTTTACGTTAAGCAAAGTTACAAACTATGATGGTTAGTCGTTTCATGTTTTACGTTAAGCAAAGTTACAAACTCTGATGGTTAGTCGTTTCATGTTTTACGTCAAGCAAAGTTACAAACTCTGATGGTTAGTCGTTTCATGTTTTACGTCAAGCAAAGTTACAAACTCTGATGGTTAGTCGTTCAATGTTTTACGTTAAGCAAAGTTACAAACTCTATGGTTAGTCGTTTCATGTTTTACGTTAACCAAAGTTACAAACTCTGATGGTTAGTCGTTTCATGTTTTACGTTAAGCAAAGTTACAAACTCTGATGGTTAGTTGTTTCATGTTTTACGTTAAGCAAAGTTACAAACTCTGATGATTAGTCGTTTCATGTTTTACGTCAAGCAAAGTTACAAACTCTGATGATTAGTCGTTTCAATGTTTTACGTTAAACAAAGTTACAAACTCTGATGGTTAGTCGTTTCATGTTTTACGTCAAGCAAAGTTACAAACTCTGATGGTTAGTCGTTTCATGTTTTACGTCAAGCAAAGTTACAAACTCTGATGATTAGTCGTTTCATGTTTTACGTCGAGCAAAGTTACAAACTCTGATGATCCGTGGTCCATTTTGTATTTAAGAAACTGATCCAATCTCGAATAGGTGAAATGACTTAAAAGTTTAAAGGTAATAAAATAAAAAAATATACACAAATACACACCAGCCATGTGACTTTCACAGCCTCTGACGTCATACTTTCAAAAACAATAGATCTTGGTGGGCCAGCAGGAGCTAGTGGGGAAATAATATCACTATATTTTCAGTTGATTTGTAAATTATAAGGACGATAATAAAATATTATAACTGGTTATCTTATCATTAAGAAAGCAGTGTGATAATCGTTAGCTGGAATATGCTAAATTTTAATATTTATAAGGATGATAATAAAATATTATAACTGGTTATCTTATCATTAAAAAAGCAGCGTGATAATCGTTAGCTGGAATATGCTAAATTTTAATATTTATAAGGACGATAATAAGATATCATAACTGGTTATCTTATCATTAAGAAAGCAGTGTCATAATCGTTAGCTGGAATATGCTAAATTTTAATATTTATAAGGACGATAATAAGATATCATAACTGGTTATCTTATCATTAAGAAAGCAGTGTCATAATCGTTAGCTGGAATATGCTAAATTTTAATATTTATAAGGACGATAATAAAATATTATAACTGGTTATCTTATCATTAAGAAAGCAGTGTGATAATCGTTAGCTGGAATATGCTAAATTTTAATATTTTTTAAAGCCTGCTTAGAGATAAAAAAATGTTAACTTAGGAATGGTTTTGAAAGACATTAACCTTAACGTAATGTTTTGGAAACGCTTTAAAATATAGCAAAATTTTGAATTCATATTTATGAAAACTATATATAAGCTCTTTTTGTTAACTTGCACACTAAATAAACTTTTATAGCTTTCATGTCAAATATATAATTATTTTTATGGTAAGTAGTTTTCTACATAAAGTTTATAACTTTTGTAGGAATCAAAGAATAATGAATGCCGTAGAATCTGGTTTGTTTGTTTGGTTTTCTAATTCGAGCATATATGTTTTAATTCTATCTAGAAATCTTTAAGTTATTTACGATTATAATATAAATCATACAGCTTATATTTTCTATAAAATCTACACTTTTGACCAAACCGATGGTGACGTAGAACCTGCCTTCAGAGTCAGTTGTAAAGGTCACTTTCGTGCTAAGTCCACTCACACCGATAATGTTTTCTGCAGTAACGTAAAGTTCATAGGTTGTAGCAGGCTTTAAATGATCCAATCGGGTAGCGACATCTGTACTAGAGACTGTTGTATTATATACAGTTTTGTGGTTTTCTAAGAAGAATAAAAGAATTGAATATATATATATATATAATACAAACATATTTATATTAAAAGTGGATTTATAACGCATTATATATTAATCCATTCACCTATTTATCTGTCTATCCGTTAAACCATCCAGTTATCCATCCATCAATGTACGTATCTACATGTCAAGTTTATTAAATTCATCTGTCTAACTTTATTTATTCCTCCAAAACTGAGCGTTTTTTTTCATATCAATATTTTCTTCTGTCTATCTTTTGAAGTATACTATGTTTACGTCGTGCAGCAATATATTGAACATTCACCCACACATAAAAATAAATATCGACAAACAACCACAAAAACATTAATCTGATCCTTCCATTCATTTGATCACTCAGAATCTATATATTTATCCGTCAGATTTTCTATTATTTCTATGTGTTGACCTACAGCTCCAAATATCACGATGTTTGTATTACCATCCATATAGTTCTATATCTTTAAACTTTTTCTTATATCTTTGTGCTTTCCTTCCTGAGTGATATCTCGAAACGGATAATATCTAATGATAACATTACTAAACGGTTCAAACAATGATAATTCGTAGATCTGTGACGTAAAGATATAGAGGAGGTGTGATAATAGAGTAATAATTTTTTCAAGTTGTGGGGGAAGAAAGTTACCACGTCTTGGACCTCCTTTCTTCATTTTTTGTAATTGTTTAGCTTTAACAGCTAAAACTTCGTTTCTACAACAATATTATCACTATTTTGTTCCTAATCTTTGTTAATGCAATCGCTAATATCAACTTTGTAAGTACTTAGGAGAAAACACCGAGCAGCCAAATTACCAAATAATTGAATCCAGAAATCACGTTCACACAATATTGAGTTCTGTGGCTATCGCGGTGGATACGAACATCTGTTTCAAAGAGCCCTAAGTACAACAACACAAGAAATTATGACTATGAAAAAAAAGAGCCTTCAAAGAAATAGATAGCTTTGTCTGACTTAGGATTTTTATGTTCACTTTCACACCACACGAAATAATAAATGACCAAACCATCTCAAGTTGACCAGCGATTTCTTCCCTTACTCCGGATCCATTTCCCAACACCCAGCTCCCTCTATAAGCTTAAAACGGAAAGAAGGGTTACAGCGTACAAAGGCTTAAGGGGAAATATTTGGTTAATAGCACAAAGATTGTAGCAGCCTACATCGCATTTGCTTACGTAAATTTTTAGATGATCTACTGATAGTAAATACAGAGTAAGTCTTTGGTTGGGAAAGGATACTGATAGTAAATACAGAGTAAGTCTTTGGTTGGGAAAGGATACTGATAGTAAATATGTGTAAGTCTTTGGTTGGGAAAGGATACTGATAGTAAATACAGAGTAAGTCTTTGGTTGGGAAAGGATACTGATAGTAAATACAGAGTAAGTCTTTGGTTGGGAAAGGATACTGATAGTAAATACAGAGTAAGTCTTTG